CAGGTGTTCCAGTGACTTCCGACACCGCAACGAGGCTGCACCAGTTAGGGTTTAGGGCTTAGGGCTTAGGGCTTAGGGCTTAGGGCTTAGGGTTTAGGGTTTAGGGTTTAGGGTTTAGGGTTTAGGGTTTAGGGTTTAGGGTTTAGGGTTTAGGGTTTAGGGTTTAAGGTAGCAGTGCAGTGGCCTAAGGCGCAGAACTGGCCGGGCTGAACGGTTGTGATTCTCTACCGAATTGACGTACTCTGCCCGGCGCTTCCGCCAAGGATCCTCTGCGAGTGGCAGCTGATGCAGGTGTGGGGGGGGGGGGGGGGGGGGGGGGGCAAAGTCCAAACGCTGCGAATGCGAGATGGCCCTGATTACTTAAGCCTTCCTGTGCAGGAGGGAAAGAAGGATCGGAACCCGCAATACTCTGTCTGTAATCCTTTTTGAAGCCTTTTGCAGGGTGCGGAGTCCCTTCTTGGAGTGGTCCTTCACTAGGACATGGGGGAGTTGCCGCAGGCGTATTGGGGAGTTTGACAGCTTGCCAGGTGCCACTTCACACGTCTTTCTGGAAGCCAAGGAGCAAGCTGCGCAGATTCCTGGTCTTTGCACACATGTAGACTCGGCAGAGGGATGTCTATGCGCTTTTCATCAGGGTCAAAAGCTCACATGAAACAAGCAGGAGACCCAACCATTCGAAGAAGCTCGGCGTGAACATGAATTCATCCCAGTGGCATTTCAGGTAGGCTTTAATTACGCCGTGACGCTTGAGCTCGGCTGTTAGAGTCTTATAATTGGAAAGTCGAGGTGTATTGGCTATGAATGGCATCCTTTGCCTTTACTGGACCCCTGTCCTTTTCGAAGTCTGTAGAGGAAAGGGTTTCGGGATGTGAGGACTAACGGCCTGACCACATGTCGATGTTTATGGCCAAAGCATTTGTGAGGGTGGATGTCCTCCATTATCTTCATCACGACCTGTCCAGTCTGGAAGCAAAGTTATCCACCTCTCTATGACTTCCTGACGTGTAACCAGAAAATTGACCAGATGCATCGGCCTTATCCCCGTCCGCGGCAGCTTCGTCAGCCTTCTCACCGTTCACGGCGAAAGCACACGGCACGCCGCACAGTGTCTGCATGGTCACTCAGTTTGTAGGAGGCACACCTCTTGGGCTAATCATGACACAGTCGACTGGGCTGCTGCCACGGCTGTTGCTGTTTTCCCTCTGCTCTCATGGCTGTCGCCTCAAGTGGTGAGTGGTGAAATAGCGGTGGGTAAACATCAGTAAAATCTCCTGGCAGTGGTGCCATTTTTCCTTTGTTCAAGGTTAGGTTCCCATAATCATGTCAGCCCTGTCTCACTCAGGATCCGACTCTTTTCCCAGCTGGGGGGACCGAAATTATCAGTGCCCTAAATGTGTAGCAGATGTATATTTTTATATACATGTGTATATATATATATATATGTATGTATGGGGGTTTACGACAATAGGGAACCCCCAATACAGATCCCCTTATCACAAGGACCCCAATAATGTACCCCTAATTTCGGAAACCCCCACGTCAATACTTCACCCTAAACCCTCAACCCTTTTTCACAAGGGACTCGACTGCTGCCCTTTCTGCCCAGCCCTCAACCCTAAACCCTAAACCCTGAATCCTAAACCCTAAACCCTAAACCCTAAACCCTAAACCCTAAAGCGCCCCTGAACTTGAAGAACAGTATGACCGGTATTAGTCCCTGCAACGTGGCCTGAGTGTCAGCTAGGCGGGTGGCAAAAAAAAAAACCCTAAACCCTAAACCCTAAACCCTAAACCTCCATATCAATATTTGTACATATACATCTAAGGGGCCGTGGTGGAACAACAGCTGAGGACCTGCTATCTGGCAGCCGAGGCGCCATGCCCGAGCGGCACGTCCAGCTCTTCCGCTCCTAGCCTCTGACATGGGGCGTTTAGGGCTTAGGGTTTGTTTAGGGTTTAGGTTTTGCTTAGGGTTTAGGGTTTCGGGTTTTTTGCTTAGGGTTTTTTGCTTAGGGTTTAGGGTGTAGGGTGTAGGGTTTAGGGTTTAGGGTTTAGGGTTTAGGCCAACGTATGGTGCAGGTAGGGCGCAGGGTTTACCAGCGCTCAGGGTTTAAGAGGTTTTGCTACACTACGGGCTCTTCTGGAGGTGTTTGTGAATGGTGACAGTATGTGCCTCGAGTCCGTGTCTACGACTCCTGCTTCTATTGCTACCACCAGCCAGTACCGCCACTCCCTCTAGGATGACTGAGGCAACCGTTGCTGTGATTGCTCGTGTCTTCGCAACACGGTGGTTGCGACACAGGGTTTCTTGTGGAGGTGCCCATTCCCATGACCCGGAAATAGCCAAGCGCAGGTAACCTGCAGTTCAAGTGGCAATGCTACGATGCCTACTGCCGCGTTTGTCTCGGCCTTGGGCTGATCCCTGGCCTCAATTGTGCGGTTTCGGCGGTTTGGGTTCGGGTTCATTGAACCGCAATAACAGTATTAAGAGCTATTCAGAACAGTACTGCTTGTCTGAAGAGCAATGATAGGGTGGAAAGTAGCAGGGTATTCGTCATATTCGGAGAAATGGTAGCAACAGCAGTCATAAAGCTGACAATGGTCGGAATAGTAATAACATGAATAGTCCTTGTAATAGTTATGTAACAATCGTCACGGTAGTACTAGCAAAGCCTAAGGCGGTGTGCCTGAAGTTTGGGTAGCTAGCGCCCTTTTGCCAGATTGGCTCCCGCCCATGTGAAAGCAGCTTTCTGGGTCGCCACGCGCCCCTTAGCCTTCATATCATACCACCTTTCATATGAATGTCACTGAATCATTGGGCAAGGTCATATAAACATTGTTCAATTTATGAACTTGGGTAAATCGTAACAAGCCGCCGCTCCGTCTAGGACTCCTCTGACACCCTGAGTATTGCAGGTGGTGTCTTACTTGGAAGCGCTCTTCATGGTGGGAATTGAGGGCGACAGCCCTAAACCCAAAAAGCTTGAGGCAGGGTTTAGTTTAGGGCTCCAGCTTATATGAGTTTAGGGCCCGAGGGTGTGGAGCCTAATGCTGCAAACTTTATAGTTTCTTAGTGTTATGGGATGCTCTGGGTGGGTGCATGAAAACAAGCTCGACTAGTGAATGCTGGGACTTGCGATGCTGAACCCTAAACCCCAACACCCTAAATGCCTCGATTGGCTTGTCCGAGTGTGAGCGATCAAACCCTGAACCTTGCCAAGAAGTGACGAAGTCGCCGACTCGACCGAGGAACCACATCCTCCAAGCCATGACATACTACTGCATCTGCCATGCTCTGGTGGAGAACCAGACTCCCACATTGGGGCTGGCATTGGTTGCTGCTTGGACATAGCAGCCATACTAGCAGTGCTAATGTCTGTATCCAGGGTGCTGAGTACTTGTCGGAGTGGCTGTAGTCCTCCGAGGATTGGAGTGTTACCAATCGGAAATGCATGAGGGAACGTCTGGTTAGCGGTTGGCTTCCTTTTCCACGGACGCGCTGATGATCATTCAGGGCGATATGCATCATATAGAGGCTTAGGGGAACTGTCTACGACTATCCGTCAGTGGCTCATCCAGCCCATGCAGGTTCTTTTCCAGGCAGCGACAATCTTTGTTGCTTTCCTGGACTTAGCGGGACTTCAACACCGGGAGATCATCACGGTGCAGATCGTCAGCAGCTTGCCTGCAGAGATGAGAGGCGGAAGAAGCCAAATGTGCCTGACCCGCCCAAGGGTTCCTGACAGGCGTTTTGCTTGCTGGCATGTGTAGACACACCTTTGTGGCAGGTTTGAAGGTGTCCCTTGGCTGCTAGAAGTGTTGGGCGTCTACGTCTTGGCTATGATGGTGCAGGGTGGCACCTCAACGGTACCCGAAAACGCCCAATGAAGGCCTATTCGCTTTGCTTCGGGTCTCGGATCTTGCAAGCCTTCAAAGCACACACAACGGACACCATTTCTATTTCCTAGGCCGATGGGGAATTGAGCGGATCGGTGGGATTCAGGACTGCGCCCATCAGCTCAGACTCATGAGCGGAGCCTTACAACCCGAAGCATGTCGGCCGAGACGTGATATGCGGGCTGAGCCAAAGTATGGGTTCTTTTCTGGATCGTTACCGTAAATTGCTTAAACGTTCTTCTCATAAACCCCAAACCCTAAGCCCTAAACCCTAAACCCTAAACCCTAAACCCTAAGCCCCATAAAAGAACCAAGAACACCACCTTAGAGTGCCATGCTGGAGGCATCGTTCCTAGCATTGTCACCGCCCTGGAAGTCTCGTTCTCTCAGCGAGATGAGCTTGGTCAGCTGCTACCACAGCAGGAGCGGAGTTTTGGGTTTAGGGTTAGGGTTTAGGGTTCAGGGTTAGGGTTCAGGGTTTAGGGTTTAGGGTTTAGGGTTTAGGGTTCAGGGAGCCTTTCCTAGCTGAAATCAGGAGTCTGGGTTCAAGAGGGTTTTTAGGGAGCAAGAGCAGGTTGAAGGCTGCAGGGTTCAGGGCTTGAAGAGGTTGACCCTGGACCAGGGTTGCGTGAACCCGGAAGGATGTCTGGAATCCAAGCCGCTGTGAAGCAGAGAGTCGGGCAAGCAGACGTTCAGAAACACCGCCTGCGCACAAGAGCAACAGATTTACACATTGCATGCCGGAAGTTCCGAACATGACAGCGCAGCAGTCGCAGCAAAAACTCGCCAAACGATGGGGGCTCACTCGGCAAGGACTACAAGCTGTCTCCGCTTAGCTTTCTGTGCCATGCCATGTGGCTGGAGTGGCTTGGGCCGCACGCGAGACGCGTTGAACCCTAAACCTAAGGGTTTAGGGTTTAGGGTTTAGGGTTTAGGGTTTAGGGTTTAGGGTTTAGGGTTTAGGGTTTAGGGTTACGGTTTAGGGCGTGCTCGTCTGGCAGTCATCAAGTCCGGATTCATTCGGCTTCAGGGCGTGATATTGGGCAGGAGGAGGAGGTACTGTAAGCCATAGACGGACATATCCCGACTGTCAGTGGTCCCGCAGGTGTGTTTGACTGGGAGGCAGCCGGAACCCTGAGCATCTATCCTCTATCTTCAAGAAGCGGACCCCCCTGATTCCTCTGCTTCCCAAGAGAAAGACGAAGGCTTTGGCTTCGCATTGCCTGGCCCAGTGGGGCGGAGGCTCCAGATGATGTTGTCCTACTTTTCGGATGCAGAGTTTCAGGCTTTAGTGGGCGGCTTACCCTAAACACGAAACCCGGCCTAAATGGCTGTTCGCTGCAGATAGGGGCCTATTCCAGAATCCAGGTTTATCGTCTGCGGGAGTCCCTAGGATTCATGAAGGCTTGCGCTTGTTTCTGCCTGGGGGTGAGCGTCCTAGAAGTAGAGTTTGGGCCTGTGCTTGTTTTTTCTCCGGTTTCTGTGTCCTACGGGTTCGCACGGGCTGCTGTGCTTCTTCTGATCTGCATCTTCCAGTGCCCTGGCAACTCGCATGCCCTTAGTCCTCTCCCCCTCCCCATGGTAGTATGAAGAAACCCCAAAAACCCCAAAAGCTTTTCAGCAATAGGGGGGGTTCTTATCAAAACAGCCCTTCCTCGTAGCAGCTTGCTGGCTCAGTCATAGAGCAGGTTTCAAGCTTTAGGGCTACTAGGCTTGAGGCCTCGCCTAGGGGGTTGCCAGGTGAGTTGCTCGTGGGTACCAGGTTTGGGGATAACACAAGGCGTACATGGGGGAATAGAAGGTATAATGTGCAAGGGCTTATGATGGACCCCCCCCCCCCTCCCCTGCTTGAAAACAACCCTAGAATCCTTAGAAGCCCTCCTTGCCTGCCGGTGTGCCACTGCGAGCGTCGAAGCCCACCATTTCTGGCTCAAGGCCAGCCGTAGAGACTTCAAAGACAAGGAGTCTGCTGTGTGTCGTTCCGAAACTGTCAAGCTTTTGGGAACGACTCTCTTCTTAGACCCTGAAAAGGCACCGAAAAGTCGGCACAACCCAGGGTTTTTGCGCCCATGGCGCTCGTCTCACCCCCGCCCTGTCAGACATCTCCCCTTCCCCATTCAGCTCAGACAGCTCCACTCCTGCGTCCGACGCGACCGTGGCCAGAGGCCCGAGGTGGCATTGGTGGCATCGCGGGCTCGAGCTTTGTACGTGTTGCTGCTGCTGTTTGCGGCTTTGTGTCAGGAAGATCTGTCTCAAGACCCGCGACGAAAGATGCCTTGGGCTTGGGGCGGTGGCGCCGGACATCGCGGAGAGCGGAGGGTCGCGTACTGGAGATGTCCGCAGAGAAATCGAAGTCAGTGCTGGTGTCGAATGCCACGGTAGCTGGCATGAATGATCTGATGAAGCGCGAGGCTGTGACCATCTTGGCGGCCGGCGCAGAGAAGACCGAGGAGGTGGAAGGCAAGAAGGGCATGTGGCATGCCTACATGAAGCCCACCAGCATGGGTACCTGGAAGAATCAGGCCAGGCTCACGTGCAAGCTGGTGCTAGAGGCCGGGGCCGTCAATGTCGAGGTTGTTAGCCTCGAAGTCGGCAGCTGGGACAAAGACCTGCAACAGTTCAAGTTCGAAAAGTTCGATGCGAAATCCTTCAGCCTCAACTGGCAGAACAGCATGACCTGGAGAGAGGCAGGTGTGGATCTGTCCGTGCAGCATGTTTCTCGTGGCTCGATGCGATTGGTAATTCCTTGGTGGTTTCCTCTTCCGGACTCTGTGGTCAAGGCCGCATTTCAAGCAGGGATCCGGTACATGATCTCAGACGGGCAGTCCAAGATTGCAGCTGCAACGAGTCAGAGGTATGCCGCCGCAGAGCGGTGACGTGCCGGACATGGTTTGACACGGCGAAGTAGTCGGGGGCGCTGAGTCCCCTGCTAGTTCCTGCTAGCCAGACATGCGCTGCTCAACCGAGACTGTCCGAAGCCTTGACGAGAGTCCTTGAATCCTTAACCCTGAGCCCCGCTCGGCACCCTAAGCCCTCTCAAACCGGGAAACCCTCGACCCTCGGAACCTGTAAGTCCTACTCCTGGACTGCAGGAGAAACTGGCCCAGCTGCCCCGGAGATTTCGCCAGGCCGTTTCGCCAGAGCATTCCGGTTTGAGCTCACTAGGGTTTAGGGTTGAGGGGAAAAGGGTTTAGGGTTTAGGGTAGGCATTTGGGGTGGAAGAAGTCTAGGGAGAGCCCGTCGTGGGCCCTCGTTGACTCTCTGGTTTGGGAGAGGATTTGATATCTGCAGGCCGCAGTGGGGCTATCAAGCATGGTTTACGACCACAAGGGACCCATAAAACAGTCCCCAAGTAGTAGGATTCCCTTCTAGTAAGGTACCCCGAGTGTCGTAAACCCCCAACTCCTGAGCCTTAGCCCTACCTCACTGGCTTCGACGGTGGTGTGGTTGCCTCGAGCTGTTCAGGTCCATTGTAGGAAGCCAAGGAAAGGCTCGGGCCTTGTGCTAAGCACATCTGAGTATAGGACGCAGACAACAGCAGTGGCATGACTCTATGGGACACACAGACAAGCTCTCGGTTTAGGGCTCAAGGTGTACCCTGAACCCTAAACCTAAACAAAGCGGGGTGGGGCAGAGCTCACAAATCAAGAGCCCAGCAGGAGGAAAGAGAGGGGTGCTTCAAAAAGGGTGAGGGGGGAGGTTCAGGGTTTAGGGTTGTCAGGGGTCAAAAAAAGGGGAAGTAGAGCCTGGGAGCAATGAGTCTAGATGCATAAAAAAAAGGGCAGCGAATTTGAGAAGCAGGTCCTCTTCCTGGATCCCTTTGGGGATGCGCTGAACTGGGATCCCAATCATGTGGCCTGGGCCCTACACTGCGGCAGGCATGTCTGGGGTTCTTCTGAAGGGGTTTAGGGTTTAGGGTTTAGGGTTTAGGGTTTAGGGTTTAGGGTGATTGTAGTATTTTTGGGGCATATAAGGGGGCAGGAAATCCCCACATTGAGGAGAAGCGGAGTTTCTTTCTTTGCATCGCGCGTCACCGGAAGGGCAGGTCAAACCAGGCTATTTGGGAGGCGGGAGGCGGGAGTTCTCACAGTGAAGCCCAGTGCAACCCTAAACCCTAAACCCTAAACCCAAAACCCTAAACCCTAAACCCAAAACCCTAAACCCTAAACCCAAAACCCTAAACCCTAAATCCTAAGCCCTAAACCCTAAACCCTAAACCAAAAACCCAAAACCCAAAACCCTCAACCCTAAACCCTAAACACCCATGTATGGCCCCGGATTTGCGCTCAGGGGCGCTCGAGATGCCGTCTAATTTGAGGTGTGCTCGGCTGAAGCCGAAGCTCCGTCACAACTCACATTGGGGCTGTGGGGTTTTCCTCTCTCTCAGACGTGGTTTTACCCGCAGCTCTTGTATAGCAAAGCCAGCGAACGAAGCCATCAGCTTCGCACCAGGGTTTAGGGTTTAGGGTTTAGGGTTGGCAATTCGGACATTTCATGCCAAGGGATAGACTTGCCTAAACCCCCAATCCCGAAAGCCCGAAACCAGAGAAGCCACTGAGCCCGAAATCCTCCCTAGACCCTAAATCCTAAACCCTAAACACTCACCCTAAACCCCAAACCCCAAGCCCCAAACCCCAAACCCCATACACATCGGAGCCCGAGGCTCCCGGTGATGCGCGGTCCTGGTTCGAGGCCTTAGACTGCGCAGAAAGAAGATGGGAACCCAAATGATTCGAGCATGCTCTCTTAGCGCTTTTCGGGTCCATCCTGGGATGGGAGATGGAAGGGCCTCGAGCTTCCGGTGTGTACTGGCCAGGTAGCAGCAACCGTCAACCCCCCCCTCCAGAAACTGGGAACCAAAGCTTCGGTCCTGGAGCCACCGAGCATTCTGAGCACTGCGAGCTGTTTCGAGGCCCTGAACGAAGAGGACGTCACGTCCCAGGCGGCGGCGATGCATGCGGTGCTGCCCTTGGCATTGTTGGCACGGCACAACCCCGCTGACATTACTGTTTGCTTAAGAACCCAACAAACAAAGCAATATTCTTCCCTATAAGGGTAATAAGGGAATTATTTCTTTTTTGATGTTTGGGGGTTGCTAAGCAACTAGTAGGACAGGGTTGGTGAGCTGAACCGAGGTCAGACCTTTCCGATGTCGCGCTACCAAACAACTTCTGACCCGCATGCCATGCTAGCGAAAGCACCAGAGACGCGAAGCATGTGGGGTTGTCTATCAGAGGTTCTAAAAGCTACGTGCCTCCGAAGGGACTGAATCTTGAGATGTTCCCCCGGCTACTAACATTCCTTGGTAGGGATAATAATAATAGTAGTAATAACAATAACAATAACAATAATAATAAAAACAATAATAATAATCATCATCATAATAATAATAATAAAAATTGGGACTTTGGGAGCTTGGTAGTTACCTCTCAAGGTGCCTTCCAAAGGAATTATCACAAGGTCCAGCCCCTGCATGAACTGCACCGGACCAAAAGCCCTTTCACACCCTGAGAATGTGACATTGCCAACCATTCTCACCCCCTCTAAGAGCACTCGTTTCCCCTAAACATGTGTTTCCAGCTATACGGGTGCCAAAAAAACAGCCACATGATTCCGTCACCTAGTTTGTGCACGTTTCTGCCTTGTGCTCTCGGGGTTCTTAGAAATCGAACTCCTAAACTCACGTTGTGCAGTGTGAGTGTCGAAGCAGCATTACATGTCGCATGCAAACAACTTATGTTATCTAAGTAGACATCTCTATCTATCGCGGTGTGTGTATATGTATAGATACTACACATCTTTTGTTTCACTTCTGAAAATTGTGCTGCATACGCATTGTCTACATACATGCACATACTTTGTCTACATAATTTATATATTTGTACAGATCGGTATCTATAGCTGAGTGTTGTATCACGACTACATGGGTTCTGCGCGCCCTTCCTAGGCTCACGAAGCCGCCTGCAACGCTTCGACGCAGCTTACGATGGCGCAGTGCGCGCTGCGGCGCTGGCAGTCGGTGCCCTCCTTCTGGTCTTTCAGGGTTTAGGGTTTAGGGTTTAGGGTTTAGGGTTTAGGGTTAGGGTTTAGGGTTTGGGGAAAAAGGGTTAGTAGAAAGTACCAGGTCGGAGTCTGCAGGCTTTGGCAGCCAGCTTGAAAGGTCAATCGGGGTCCTGATCCATGGTGGTCTTGTGGAGTCTGAGACCGGGGTCGCACAAGACAAATCTTGCTCGTGGCGGCCGGGGTGACGCTTACCATTGACATCTGTTAAGAAAACTGGCCGTCTGAACCATGGTACCCCCCCAAGTGTCGCTCAAAGGTGGCCTGAAATTGTCAAAGCTCGGGCGCGCGCCGAACCCGTAACCCCCAGCTTTCTGTGCGAGTTTCGGGACCTTCGTGCCCCAGGATGGCCCCAGCACCGAAATTAGCCTTGCCCAGTGCCCTCGGGCTCTTCAACCCCAAGCCTCAGACCCGCTGCGTTCAGGTGCCGAGCTGGTGCTCTTCGCCCGCCCAGCGCAAGGTGCGCACACTCTGCAAGCCCTCAGGGATGTCACGTTTTGGCGGAGCCTTAGGCTTGGCCCACTCAGGTGTTCTATTAGGGCCTCAGGTGTGGTGAAGGCGCTATTTGGGGTGTGTTTATCGGCCTTTGCTTGCGCAACCTTCCCAAGCGCGGGCGCAAGGCGACGTGGTCGCGTGTGCGCTTCAACTTGCCCTGGGCCCCGAGTCCGCCACAACACTTGGGAAGGGGCCCAAGAGTTTGGCAGTTGCACCGCCCGTGACTTAAGGAGTTGAGGTTGTAATGCTCCAGCCCAGAGCTAGGACTCCTAAATCTGATGCGAGGCAGAATCCTCGATTGAGGGGCATTGGGCTCTCTGGGTCGTTCGGGCCTCTCTTCTGCCTTTCGCAGGAGCTGGCACGGCTAGAGGAGCGGCGACTGCATTGGGGAGGCAGCCTGGATGGGGAGAGAGAGGGATAGAGAGGGTGCGGAGCAAAAGGGGATAAGCTATGGCTCGAAGTGATGGTCCCTTTTAGGTAGCCTGAAGATAAGGGGCCCAAAAGGGACCATATGGGAAAGTGCATGGCTGCTGGCATTGTAGGCAACCCATGTAGGTTTACCTCGGAGGAAGCCCAAAAACACCTCGATTGGGTTAGGTCGGGCCTGCACGAGTTTGTCTTGCCCAACCCAACCTTCAAGTTCTTGTAGTCACCCTAAGCCCTCAACAGTAAACCCTAAACCCTCAACCCTCAACCCTAAACCCAAACACTCCTTTAGTGCAATGTGGCCCTGGCCTGTTCATGAGGCACCATCCGCACGGAGCTTGAGAGGTGCCTGCCCCAGGGTTTCGCAGACCACGGAAGGTCCTGAGGGCCTAAGTTGCGTAAGTTGAGTGAGGGGATCCAAGCCGTTGGGCGTTTCAGGTGTAGGGTTGAAGGTGCAGGGTAACAGCACACGGTTGCGCGTGGTATGCCTACTGAAAGTCGAATGGTTACTATGCAACAGGGTTTCTATGACTTTTGTTGATGAGTGTATATCATGGACGTTCATTGGTGAGTGTGTTTTTGGGAGGCGTCCTTTTGGGGATCTTAAAAGAACATAAAGCCCTCCATACTTCGTTTTGGTCTGAGGGAATGCTTGTGCCACTGTGAGGGTGCCTGGCTTCTGCGAGACCTGAGCCACGCAGAGAACCGTGAGCGGCAGCCATCGCTCATTCTAGTCTTGGAGCTTAGCACGTGAGGCCCCCCACGATCAAGATTCCTGACCCTAAATCCTAAACCCTAAACCCTAAACCCTAAACCCTAAACCCTACACCTTAAACCCTAAACCCCAAGCCCGAAGCCCTAAACCCTACACCACAACGCCCGGCCAGCGGCTCAAGTGCAATGATGCCGTGTAGATCGACTCTGCGCCTTCCTGGCGTGCCCAGGTCCTCGCAGCCGAGGAGAGATTCAGGGGATGTGAGGCATGTACCCTAACCCTAAACCCTAAACCCTAAACCCTAAACCCTAAACCCTAAACCCTAAACCCTAAGGAAGTTGAAGGGCTTAAGGGCTTCGGGCTTTGGATTCGAGGTGCTTTACCCCCTCCGCTAGGAAAGGGAAGTCCGAAAGCCAGGCCCGCATTCATGCGAGCCATGAAAAAGTTTCGCAGGGACAGCCAGGGAAGAAAGAGCGCGCCGAGCAAACATATACAACCACGCATTACGTGGAGTTCGCTTCCACTCCCGAAACCGATTTCATGAGGCTTTGCAGGGATCTGCCTGGAATGCTCATAAACCGCCTAAACCCAAAACCCTGAACCACTGGCGTGAAGCCTGCTACTGCAGAAACCCTACACCCAGCACCCTAAACCCTAAACACTAAACCCTAAACCCTAAACCCTAAGCCTAAACCCTAAACCCTAAACCCTAAACCCTGAACCCTAAGCCCTTCAGCAAACGAGGAGGCTCGGTGCGGTGGCCATCGGGGTGCTGGCCTCGGCGTGTGTTTGCTTTGGGAGTTTAGTAGGGAATGAGGGAGTTTCGGTACCCTTAGAATCCCTTAAAGGGTTTAGTAGGGTTTAGGGTAGTCCTGGCATGAAGCAGCTTCCAGGTTCAAAAGGGTTCAGGATTTAGGATTTAGGGGTACAGGGTTTAGGGTACCCGAAAGAATCAAAGGTAGCCTGCAGTGGTGAGGATAGGGAAAGGATAGGGAAGGGCTTGAGGGTCTCTCAATTCGCTTTGCTTGATTCGGGCGGTAGATAGCTTGGTCGTTTTGCCGCCTGGGACCGCGCTGTGCGCGGCTCCCTTCACAAGGGGGCCACCGAGAGGGAGAAGTGCTTGGAGGTTCATGATACTTTTTAACCAATTATGACTGTACTTGTAACTGTACTTCTAACCATATTGGGGCACACTTAAGGGGCTTATAAGTGGGTTATAAGTTATAATTGGTTAATAAGTACCATGAACCTCCAAGTGGAGGAGGTGAAGGGGAAGCCAAGACCTCACAGGCGGAGCGCAAAGCCTCAAAGTCCCAGCCGCATGCCTTCCCTGAACCCTGTATGAGGGTCTCTGGTTACAGAGCCCTAAACCCTATTTAAACCCTAAACGCTAAACCCTAAACCCTAAACCCAAAACCCTAAACCCTAAACCCTAAGCCTTAAACCCTGTTGGAGAGAACTTCAATCCCCCAGGCTCTTGTCCTTGGCCTTGCGCATGCCGACCTCTTCGCGGTGCTGCGCAGCCCGCGAGCGTCGAGCGTGGTGGCTAGGCCTCGCGGGTGACGACAATGGGTTTAGGGTTTAGGGTTATAACCCTATAGGGTTTAGGGTCTAGGGTTTAGGGTTAAGGGTTTAGGGTTTAGGGTGTAGGGTGTAGGGTTTAGGGTTTAGGGTTTAGGGATGCCTCAGGGCCATGTCGTTTCCGTTAGTCAGGGATTAGGAAGTTAGGTCAGGTACCTTGTAGAACCCCATTGTAGGGATAATTTTACGGGGTGGGTGGGTGGGTGGGTGGGTGGGTTTGTCAACCTACCCTTGCCCCCCCCCCCGCCCCCCGGTCTTCCACAGTCCCATTTAAAATGAATATTGAAATCAACGGAAACCCGTCAGATAAATAGAATGTTGATCAAGGCAAAGTTTCATGTTCTGTTAGCTGAGACCCACATTGTATGTCTATAACAAAGTGTTTTTCTATCATCGAATATGCTATATTCATGTTTGCAGGTTCGCCGGTTGGCCCCGCGCAGGGTGGGAGACAAACAAATCAATAGAGTTTAGGGCTTTCGGGTTCAGGGCTTTAGGGCTTTCGGGCTTTAGTGTTTAGGGGGGGAAGGGGTTTAGGGGTTTAGGGTTGATTCTTGCAAGACGTGAGGAGAGAACGATGTGGGTGTCTAGGCCAGGAACTTCATGCCGGTGAAGTGGGCAGGCATGCGGCTGCGCCAACCTGGAAAAACCCCATCGACTACCGGTACGATGTGGCTGATGAGCAGGCACCGGTTTCGAAGCTGGGTTCCGGGCGCGCGGCTGTTTATTGGAGTCCTTCTAGCTTCCAGGGGGCTTGGGCTTCGGTGTGGGCTCGAACTCTAACGGCCCGCGGTTAATTGTATCCGCTTGCGCCTTGCGCGCGCCGCCTCGGCAGCCCGGCCTGCCCACAGGAAAGGAGGGCCTCCAAGCGATGGGGGGGCGGGGGGGGGGAAGGAGACCGGATCCGGGTCTGCTTGTTCCAAACGCTTCTCGGCAATCTCATATTCCGGCTTGCTGATTGCACAGAGCAGTGCGAGGCATCCGTGTTGATCGACAGACGCGCATCCAAAGGCTGAAATAGGTAGCACTTTGTGTCAGCACCAACACCTCGCCAAAAAGAAGCCTCATTCTGTCTTGCTCAAAGCCGGCCTTTATGTCGCCTAGGGGTGCGTAGTGCATCTAGGTTGTATGGGGTATGTAGCCTTTATAGGGTACGTAGGGCATAAGGGTAGCACCGCACGGCAAGCGAAGCAAAACCAGCGCACATAGGCTGCGACCACCAAGCAAAACAACCGCAGACAGTGAGAGAGGACGCACCAACAAGCAAAATCACCGCAGAGGTAAGCGAAGATGAGCAAGCGAAGATGCACCAAAGACGCCTTCAAAACAACCACATATAGTAAGCGAAAACGCGCCAATAGGCAAAACAACCACGTATATTCAGCGAAGACGAACCAAATAACAAAACAACCTCGCACTAAGCGAAGACGCACCAATAAGCAGAACATGTGCAGAAAGCAAACAAAGACGCAGCAATGGTGTCTGGCGATGGTGTGTGGTGGCGGTGTGTGCTGGCAGGTACTTCTGTGTGTTGGTGTGTGGTGATGTGCCTGAGTGTGGAGGTGTTGGGTGTGTGGCCGCGGTGTGGTGTGGTGGAGTGCGAAGTGCGGTGATCTAAACGTGGTGATGGTGTGGCAGTAGTGTGGTGGTGGTGAGTAGAGGTGTGCGGTGGTGTGGTGGGGTGGTGGTGGTGGTGGTGGTGGTGGTGGTGGTGGTGGTGGTGGTGGTGGTGGTAGCGGGATGTTGGTGCTGTGGTGGCGGACAGAGTGGTGGTGCTGCGGCGGCGGCGGCGGCGGTGGTGTGTGTTGGTTTGCGATGGTGAAGTGTGATCGTGGTGGCGATGGTGCTCTGTGGTTGTGGTGTGCGGTGGAGCGTGGAGAGTGTGGAGAGTGTGGAGCGTGGTGTGTTAATGGCGGGAGAGGTGGCCGGAGAGAAATGCGTTCTAGCCATAACCCTCGTAAAGCACAGACTTATTCATATTGCTGCCAATCCAGACTATCTTTCGTTGTCCTCGGCTTTGCCCCTCAAGTGGAGTAGACTCTGAGTAGACATGAAGAGAAAATATCGGACGAAATACGGTATATTCCTTAGCTGTTCCGGAAGGTGACTTTTCTTAATTTTGGTATGCTCCTTGATGAAGGGGGTATCAGGCCCTAAACCCTAACCCAAAACCCTAAACCCTAAACCCTAAACCCTAAGCCCTAAGCCCTAAGCCCTAAGCCCTAAACCCTAAACCCTAAGCCCCGTGCCAGGATGACACGGAGTCCTTGACTCGTGACGTCATGGTCAATGACATCCGGGAGCCTCCTCGTCTAAGCACAGTGCGCACGCTGCCTTGTGACCTGCCAGGGTTTAGGGTTTAGGGGTTAGGGTTTTAGGGTTTAGGGTTTTAGGGTTTAGGGTTTCCCAGCTGACTTCAGGAGTCTGGGTCCGAAAAAAAAGGGTTTAGGGTTTAGGGTTTAGGGTTTAGGGTTTAGGGATCTTTCTCGTTCGCGCGCTGCTGCCTCGATTTCTGAAGTGGCCTCTTGTTCCCCTTGGGCGGCAGGATCTGAACGAGCTTCTGAAGCTTCGTGACCCGATCTGTCCGGATGAAGTGACTTGGAAGCACGTGCTCCGTTTTGCTGAGGCGCCTCACTCCCAAAAGCCTTTCTGGGGACATTTGTGCCGCTGACGTTAGCCCTTCAGCGGGAGAAGGTGCACAAACGTTGTCCAACACGTGTATACATGAAGAATCAATAAGTAAGCCCCTAAACCCTAAACCCTAAACCCTAAACCCTAAACCCTAAACCCTAAACCCTAAACCCTAAACCCTAAACCCTAAACCCTAAACCCTAAACCCTAAACCCTAAACCGCCCAAAAGCAAGTGAGGAGAATGTCTTGCTGATGGCCATCACGTTGGACAACGGCACTCGGATCGACAGACCGACCGCCCAGGAGTGCAAATGTCAGTGCTTTTCGTCGTGCCATCTGGCTTTTTATGTTCCTGAGCGCCTGAGGGCGGCGCAAAAGGGGAAGATAGGGATGGACATGAGGGACTTCCATGCAAAACTGGACTGCCTTTCTGGCTCGCATCCCCTGGCGCATGCTGCATGCGCGCATACCCGACCTGTCTTCCTGCCAAGAGGACTTGCGCAAGCTGAAGCCCACCAAGCTTCGCCCCGTGGTCTTCCACTGGAGGGATGCGAGCAGCTCGGATGCGCCCGGCCCACGCCCTGAAGTCTGCCGCAAAGCCCCGTTCCCGACAGCGAACTCAGCTTTCAGCCAAGGTAAAGACCAGACCAACGCTCCCAAAGAGTACGATGAGAAGCTCGGCACAAACCATCGTGGCTGAGAACTGCAAGAAGGCTTCCCGGGATGTGTAGTGGTAGAAGCGGCAAGATCCATGCAACCAGAAGAAGAAGGAGTTCCGTCGAAAAAGACGCTGCCGGTATTGCCTGGCGAAGAAACTGGCCCTCAAGAGACAGCAGAAACCATAAAATCAGTGTGAATTGTGCTGGGAGACGTGTGGAGAGTGGGTCATGGCGCCTTAGACATGCTGCAGCCTCACCCTAAACCCTAAACCCTAAACCCTAAACCCTAAACCCTAAACCCTAAACCCTAAACCCTAAACCCTAAACCCTAAACCCTAAACCTGCGGGAGTCATGAAGTATCACGGGTGCCCGCAGTGGCCATCTGTGCCGTATGGGCCCTCAAGCAAGATCATGGGACACAGTGTGCCTCGCCTGGCGTGTCCGAGTGTGAGGGGGTGCCGCGTCGACTTCCCTGCTGTGCGATGTTATCATCAGCTAGGCGGGTGGCAAGAACAGACCCTAAACCCTAAAACTCTAAACCCTACAACCCTAAGACCCTAAAATCCTAACCCCCAAGCCCTAAACCCTAAAACCCTAAACCCTAAGCCAACTCTGAAGCCCAGGATCATCCAGAGACTGCTCACGGCGGGGCCCCAGGATTTTGAAGAGCTGGTGCGTGCCAACTGGCCACTCGAACTCATGGGTTTAGGGTTTAGGGTTTAGCGTTTAGGTTTAGGGTTTAGGGTTTTTAGGGTTTAGGGTTTAGGGTTTAGGGTTTAGGGTTTAGGGTTTAGGGTTTAGGGTTTAGGGTTTAGGGTTTAGGGTTTAGGGTTTAGGGTTTAGGGTTTAGGGTTTAGGGTTTAGGGTTTAGGGTTTAGGGAAGCCCGAGGCCTGCTGCAAAAAGGAATTTAGGGAAGCAGGGGGTGGTCCTTTCGTCAGCTAGAACCCAGGGGTTGCTGGTTCCTGAACTTAAGGCACCGTAAGGGTGTAGGATTTAGGGTTTAGGGTTTGGGGTTTGGGGTTTGGGGTTTAGAGTTCCTGAGCTTAGGGTACCTTACCAGAGATAAGGGAGCCCTACGATCTCGCCCTGGCAGACTTCAGGTCCAGGTTGCCAAGTCTAAGGAAGCCCCTACTCTCTAACCCTAGCAGAGTGTGGCTCAACCAGCTGAGCGGGTTGCGACGGGTGGCTTCATATCCACGCCCATGGACGAAAGTACCACTGCAGACCGTGGCTTCAGACTGGAGGCTCCAGGCTCCACGATACCTGAGGTATACCCTAGGGTTTAGGGTTTAGGGTTTAGGGTTTAGGGTTTAGGGTTTAAGGGTTTAGGGTTTAGGGTCCTAATGCAAATACCCGGGAATGTTAGTCTCCCCATGTTCAAAGAGAGGATTCAGAAGCATCAAGTAACCCTAGTAGTATAAACCCTATTAACCCTGATATAAGCCCTGCAAGCCCCAATATATGCCATACTATCCCCAATATAAACCCTGAATATGAACCCTATAATCCCTATACCCTTTGCCTGCTTCAGCGAGGTCGAGAGTCGAAACCCTGAACCCTAAACCCCGAACAACCCTTCCTCGAGCCGAGGAAGATGTTCGATCGAGGTTTCTACTTCCGGCTGTACAACCTGCGGGAGCGTCCTCCAAGTGATGCTACCTGAGTGGGCCCCCGAAGTTGTCCCGACCTGAACCCTAAACCCGAAACCCTAAACCCTCAACCGTGGGTCCGGCTGCGGGACCGGCGGGACCTATACTCGCCTAGGGGGTTTTCACAAAAGTCACCGCCTTGAGCCTCCCTCAATCAGTTCAGGGTTTCATCCTGCCAAAGAAAGCTCTATAGCACGCTGTGGTGGTGCACAGGAGGGTGTGTTTGCAAGCGACCACTTTGCGCAGCCAATGGTCGCTATGCCCACCCTAGTGACCCCAGTGCGGGTCGTTCCATTGAGAGGAGAGCTGGAGTAGCCCAAGTCCCTGGGAGGGTCCAAAATTCGGGTTTAGGGTTTAGGGCTATGAAACCCACCGACTACTATTAGGTCATTCTTTAAAGCCCTGAAAGGGATCTAATTTCCGGGGTCTGGGAGTGTGTCGCAGCCCAAAAGGCTGGGCCGTGGAGTTGAGTGGCTGGCAGGAAGACTGTGAGGACCCCGCGCTCAAGCAGAAGATGGCGAACATGGAGAAGTATACGCTGGCTCCTTGACTACCCTGATGCTGTCACTTTCGAAATTTCGGTTTTTGGGGGAGTTCGCGACCTTAAGTAGAGTCGGCTGAGGGGGTGCTTGCAACGTGGAGGTCTAGTTCTGCACCAATCGGCCACATGCATTCAGGAGCTGATTCAGAAGGCGCAAGAGCAGACCCGCGCCTGGTCCCAAACTGTGAGGCTGGGATGTTCCCCCTTTTACTAACAGTCCTTAATGTGGATTATGGTAGGGGGTAAGATTAATCCCTATGAAGGACTGACAGCGTAAAGGGGAACCATCCCAACTGTGAGGGTGTCAGTGCCTTGCATATCGATCTGTCCCACGGTGGTCTAGGGGTTCAGGGTTGAGCATGTGCTTGTAGATCAACTTTGCCAGTGAAGAGGGGCGAGCCAAACTGCAAAATTTTGCGTGTCACTGCAAAGAGCTGGCCAAATTGCCGAGGGTTTCGCTCAAAAGGGTTTAGGGGGAGGAGGGATTTGAGGCAAGCCTTCGCACTGGCGCCAAGCCTTGGATACCAAGGGAAGAAGCTGCCCGAGAATGATGCAGATGCCCAGGCTATCCTCGTCACGATGTTAGAGGACGGGGGTGGCCTGTGCTTGTCATTGAGCTTTCCTCAGGTGGGGGGCTGCATATAGGGCGTCAACTATAGATATCAAGGGCAAGCAAGTGTCTTGGATGTGCAGCATCGAAGCTTGTAGAATGTGTCTACAGTGTTGTGGTCATAGCACTTTCCGCGAGCTCGCCTCAAATCGCAGGAGGATTCGCAGAGCCTTTGGCTGGGATTGGGGAGGTCAAAGCGAAGAGGTCGAATCTGAGTTCTGGGTTCTTTTGGCACCGTAAACTGAAAGGAATGGCTTAATTGGGAGTTGAGGGTATAGGGGTTATGGAACGCAAAAAAGGAGCAATACTTTCCATCAACCCCCCCACATCGAGGGCCAGGTACAGGACCTTGCAGGACGTGGTTCTGCTTCAATGTTACTTCGGATATGCTGGGCTGGTTGCAAGATACTGACCCCTATGATTACGACCTGCCTATCACAGGGTCGTATAGGCTCCATATTTCGAGGGTCAGTCCAACTACGTGTGGCTGGCAGAAGAAACCCTTCAGGCTTCGCATTTTGGTGGGGTGCAAAGGGTTTGGGGTTCAAAAGGCGTGTTGGGGCTCCCTAAACCCTAAACCCTCAGCTTCTGGTGGTACCTTGAGCATACAAGTTCGGGCGGCGTCCTGAAACCCCGAGCAACATGAGCAACTCCCGCAGAGGAAGGCTGCAAGAAATGGTGTGCCCCCGGAATGGAGTGCAAGTATACGACGCGGGGGATTGCCTGGAACTGTATGCGTTGCCCTTCGGGTATTGACATGTACGAAGGTTTGTTGATCGATCTATCTCACGTGGCAACCCGTAGAACGCACACAGGCCTGGAATTGCTTGAAGTTCATCACCAGCAAGTAGTTCCCTCTGAAGTAGTCCCCGCCGCGTTGGTGCATGTGCTGAGTGGGTGGCAAAAACAACCCTAAGCCCTGTGTGGCTTGTCTGCTTGGCAGGTGGCCACAAAAGCCCTAACCCTTACGAGGTTTAGGACCAAGCTCCTATGACCTAGCTTGCAGCTTAGGACTCTTCTCTGGCCGCCTCCGCCAGAGGCCTATGCTCGTTTGGCAGAGGCGCCTGCCTTGCAACGGCGAAAATTCCCGCGTTGGTTCACTGGAGCAAGATGCAACTTAGGGTTCTAGGGTTTAGGGTTTAGGGGTTAAAAAAAAGGGTTTAGGGTTTAGTCTCGTGCTAGCCTTTCGGTGATGAGACCTAATAAGCCGATCACACAGGAGATCACCAAGCGGGCCACGAGGTCCAAGTATGAGGCGGGATCTGGGGCGGGGGGCCTGCACGGCCTGTAGGGCCTTTTGGAGGGCTTAGGTTCCCGAAATGGCGTACAAAGGAGTTGGTGTCTGGGAGTCTGGGTTGCGTTGAACCCCTAACCCCTAAAGCCTGAACCCTAAACCCTAAACCCTAAACCCTAAACCCTAAACCCAAGATGCACATCTGCGGAGGATGGCTGGTTCGAGTCGCTCGTGGAGATCTGCGAGAGCTTCGGAGCAAAGATGCAGGCCGACTCGGGAGGTAAGAAGTTCGCGTGGAGTGGTTCCCAAGCATACGACAGTTTGATACAAAAGGCTTGGGGTACCCTAAACCCTAAACCCTAAACCCTAAACCCGAAACCCTAAACCCCAAGCGACTTAACCCCTATTCCTTGGGGTTCTGCCGGGGCTTGGCTGCCGCTTCTAAGGCTCGAAGGGGTGGACTCTTTTACACTTGGGGGCAATGAGTTGCAAGTTCTGCTGGCGACTCCAAACCCTAAACCCTCAAATGCCCTAAGGCTTAGTGTTAGGGTTTAGGGTTTAGGGTAACCCTGAACCACCCCGTTTGTTTGGTGTTGAGAGTGGTACCTCAACGATGGCCTAGCTGGCAGCTCATCAGGAAGGATGTGGAAGGTCCGTAGGACGAAGTTGTTCAACGAAAGCCGTGCGAGAGCTGCAGTTCCTGAATCTCACGAATTGGACAAGCTAACGACAGAACCTGCAGGAAAGGTGCAAGAATGCAACAGTCGCTAGAAAATGCCAAAAACACTCACTCATGGGGCCTGAAGCGGGAGCTGTTCGAAGATGCCGCTTGCAATGACCTATGATAAACGGGCACCCGAAAGCGAAGCCAAATGTAGAACAGTTCCTATGCTGCCCGGTGTTTGAAACCCTAAACCCCAAACCCTAAACCCTTACGCTTCCGACACGGGTGGGAAAAAACCCTAAACCCTAAACCTTAAACCCTAAACCCTAAACCCTATTTTCGGAAACCCTCATGCTTCTCTGAGGCTAAAGGAGAGACACAGATGCTTGGCATGTCGCAGATCGTCATGCAGCGGCTGGTCACGGAGTGGCTTCGGCACGACAGCATTTGGGAGGCGTGCCGGCTTTCTGCATTGGGTTTAGGGTTTAGGGTTTAGGGTTAGGGTTTAGGGTTTAGGGTGTTGCTGTGTCCGCACCTTGTTATAACGAGATGTTCTGTGAGCAGTTGGTACGTGCGTCGGAACGCAGGAGACGGCAGAAGGTAGATTCCTCTTCCGGCTGATGAGCATCACTCATGAGCAGTGGGAGTCTCAGCGGCTTGGAAGCAGCTTCTGCCTTATGGTTTCGCCCATGGCCCAAATCTCAAACCTACTCCCACAAAAGCAACGGTTTAGGGTTTAGGGTTTAGGGTTTAGGGTTTAGGGTTTAGGGTTTAGGGTATAGGGTTATGATGGCTGTAAGGTTCCATTTAGGGGCCTCAGGAGCCTCAGAGCTGGGAGGCTGTGGAGATCCGGGTTCCAGGAAGCCCAAGGCTCAACAGGCCCCAGGGTTTAGGGTTTAGGGTTTAGGGTTGGGGGTTTAGGGTTTAGGGTTTAGGGTTTAGGGTTTAGGGTTCAGGGGTCTTTCTGCTGTACTTGGGGAGGTTCATGGTACTTATGAACCAACGATAGCTGTACTTAGAACACACTTTACAAGCACCTTTAAGTGCCCTAATAAGGCTGTAAGTACAGTGGTTGATAAGCAATTACCATGAACCTCCAAGTAGCTGAGGTACATGCAAAAAATACAAATGTTTATGAGGCATATTTTCCATAATTGGTAAATAAGCAATTGCCATCTTCCTCCAAGTAGCTGAGGTACATGTATGAGCAAGAGCCTGTGGACCCAATGAAGTTGCGTGAGGAGATCAAGCTCCTTGGAGGGATTTGGATCAAGTTTGGACCACGGCTCTTAGGGAAGTTTAAGGTCTAGGGTTTAGGGGTTTTGGGTTTGGGGGTTCAGGGTTTAGGGTTTAGGGGTTTAGGGTTAGGGGTGCGTCAGGCAGGTTGCTACGCAAGGAGTAGTAGGGGATCTTGCAGCAGTCGGGCCCTCTGCCATGACAATTGCACGTCAGAAGCAGGGGGCCCAAAATCCAGCGGCAACCAAGCACCCTAAACCCTAAACCCTAAACCCTAAACCCTAAACCCTAAACCCTAAACCCTAAACCCTAAACCCTAAACCCTAAACCCTAAACCCTAAACCCTAAACCCTAAACCCTAAACCCTAAACCCTAAACCCTAAGCTTGCCAAGGATCGTCAGCGAGACCAAGGCAAGCTTCTCGTGCGTTTGCGGGGGCGCCCATGTGAACTGCTAGGGTTTCCACGGCTTCGGGTTGAACTTCCTGCAAAGCAATAGCTGGCACTCGCAGGCCAAAATCTGGCTCAAGGCCATAAACGGCCCAAGGTTCCTATAAATCGGAAAATAAATTTAATTTTCGCAGCATGGCCTATGGTCTGTCGGCCGTGAAGTTGGAGAAGGCCATCATGAACCTCGAGATGCGCCTGCATGAGGAGTTCCGGAAGGATGTTTCCCGGCAGGTGACAAAGCAGATCAAGCCGTACCTTATCCCCTTTTGGATTCTTTTTTAATGTTTGTTACTTTTTAAAAACCCAAGAGGACATTCAAAGTATTAGTTCAATTTGAGGTTCCAAAGCTCAGTATAGGTACGTCCAGCAGATCAAGGCCCTCCAGTCCCAAGTCGAAAGTCTCAGCGCCCGCCAGGGCTCCAAGACGACCTCTTCCCCACCGCAGCCAAGTGTGGAGCCCGAGCATCTTCGTCATAGTTGGGTATCATTTTGCATCTTTATCCAAAAAGGCATAACAAAGCAATTTTTTTTTACATCTTTATCCAAAAAGGAATCGCAAAGCAAGTTTTTTTTTATATTCTCCCAACCATGCATGAACTAGGCATGGGGCTCAAGAATTGCTTCACGTGGACCTCGACACATTGCTAACAGAGGGCGAAGCCAATGTGGACGCTATATCCCTCTTGGGAAATGTTTTTGTTTTTTACCTTTGTTCATGCCCTAAACCCTAAACCCTAAACCCTAACCCTAAACCCTAAACGCCTAGAGGATGAGAACCTCAGTGACAACAGTGAGCGGCCCCAGCAGCCATGTGTTTCGATCGACATCGGCGACTTGCTCCAGAAGGAGGGTTCAGGGCAGCCCGGAATGAAGGCCGACCATGAGAAGGTGATCGATCAGAGCCTGGGCCTCAACTCCAACGACTCCAAGGGTATGTTGGATCCTGAGATCGTGGAAGAGCCAGTGGCGTTCCTCGAGACGGCCTGGAACCTGGTCCCTTGAGAATACTTGGGAATAGTTTTAAAACGTTTTTGGGGGTACTATGCAGTGATTGTAAACGCTTGCGCGCGCGCGCTGCCTCGGCAGCATGCAGTATGTGGAGATGATGCCTGGAGGCGCCGCTGCTCCAAGCGATCGGGGGGGGTCTCCCACAGGGCGGGGGGGGGGGTGGGGGGCGGGGGGGTCCGTCCCAAAAGGGGGAAGGAGACCGGATCCAGGTCTGCTTGTTCCAGACGCTTCTCGGCAGGAAGCCAAGAAACAGCAACAAACATCACTTTTGCTTAGGGTTCCAAAATCAGTATAGGTCCTTGTCTTGGGCCATACCAATTGCGGCCCGGCGGACCTCATCATCGCTTGCTTTCTCTGGTTGGGGAGCGGCCTGATGCAAATCTCCTTCTTCTTCATCCTTCTCTCGGATGATTTTCTTGGAGAGCCCTTTGGGAATCAGGTGGAGGTTGCGAAAGCATGGCGCGAGTCCATCGCGCACGACTTCAAGCACATGGACCTGGGCGACGAAAGCCTCGTTTCCCGAGTGTGCAGGGCCGATCGCACGCTGATTCTGTCGACTTCGCAGATGCAGATGCTGGACCAGATCAATGCCTTCCTCGGCCTGGGCAAGGAGGAGTTCGAAGCGCCCTACTTCCAACCCGGCGTTCTGCTCTGCATGATGTGCATCCTGCTCTGGTGTTTGTACCTCCTCAACGAATTCCGACTCGTGCTCTTTTCCTTGGAGGCCGTGTCCCAGGTCCCGCGTGGGCCCCGGACGCAGTGGAGAAGGCGTGGAGGCTTCCAAACGATCTCCTACGGTCGATTTGGTGTCTACTGCTTCATGCGCTTGGCTCGCTTCTTCATCGCCGTGGGCCTCCTCTATGCTGGCGTGCAGTGGCTAGCCGGCACAATCTCTATCACTGAGCTCATCTTGAATGCCGTGGCCTTGTCCGCTGTCTTGCAGATCGACGAGATGGTTTTCGCGGCCCTGATGCCGAAGAAGATCCAGATCTGCATCCAGGACCTAGAGGCAATCAAGGTCCGCTACAGTAAAGGGCGGAGTCAGACGGAGTCCGTCATCCTCGTTGTGGCGATTTCGCTTCTCATGCTGTGGCCGTGGACACACAATGTAGGGCCACTGAGCTGGGACATGTTGGAGGTCAAGCGCCAGTACTGTGGGGGCACTCAGAACTTCGTGGTGGCCGGGAATCAAATCCAGGGGGTCACGGTGGGGCTGGTCACCTCAGAGTATGCCCAGGGTGTCAACCAAACTTCCCTCACTCGCTTCGCTGTGAGGCGGCACATTTGGGAGGAGCCTCTGGGCAGTTCGAACTACATCCGATTCACCAAGGATCGATCCAGCTTCGTGACTGCCAGAGACATGGACATGCATCAGCGCAACACCCATGACAGTCTTTGCATGGACTTTGACGACATCTTCCTGGGCAATGCGACACATGAGCTTCAGGAGTTCTACCGACCATACTTCTACTCGGCCAGCTTCGAAGCAGGGATTCCCGAAGGAGCGAGTTGCGCAGAGATGGCGCACCTCTGCCACTCCCTGGATTCCCAGGCGCGCCTGGTGAGGCACGTGTGTCCCCGCACGTGTGGATGCCACTTGCAGCACACGAATCCACTGCTGAAGCTTGTGGGCGAGGGCTGCTCAAAAGCCTGCTTCACTGAGCAAGAGTACGCGATGCGCTTCTCAGCTTGCAAGGACGTGGACCTTGAGGAGTCACCCCATCTTCGGGAGGCATGGGAGGGGTTCTGGGACAGCTACAAGCCCTTGATGGAGCAGAGGGTGGGGATGAACTTCAGCAGTCCCAGCCTCAGCTTTGTCCCGGACTTCCTGACCTATGTCAAGAAAGTCGGCTGTCCAGGCCTCAGCGTAGTGGCCATCGACCCCGTCACGCGCAGCCCATGGTGTTCAGGCAGCCAGCTGTATTATGGTCCCCTTGCAAACTGGTGCCCGCAGACTTGCGGCTGCCACACCTCGGAAACGCTGCCCACCTGGTGCCCCCGGAGTTGCGAGGGGTGCAAGGACACAGCGAACTTCCCCACCCACATTCGTGTCAGTGACTGTGCACAATCTCTTCAAGCGGGACTTTGTGAGGCCTATCCACTTGAGTCAGCTGTGTACTGCGCAGAAACATGCAACCTTTGCTCCGCCCTTCACAACAACGGGACCATTGATTAGCCGGAAAGCCATGGCCGGCCTAAAGATGGCCATGGCGAGACCACCTCCCGGGGCAGAAGCCGTTTGGGGGAGGGGGTGAAGGCGACAAAGTGAGTGCTCCGAGATAGCCGCTAAACGCACTTTGGAGGCTCAAAGTTTGGGGGGCGGACTTTCCTGAGGCAGAGTTACGTGTGATATGAAGAATTCGCTTTCCACCGCACAGCTTGTTGTCTGGGCTGTTTTTCCTGCAGGCAGCGGATCTGCACCTGATCGGCATGTGGCCCCAGAACCAGCAGCCTTCAACTTGACAAGATCTTCGCCCCCCCCAGCCCCCCGCCCCCCCCTCGCCCCACATGTTGCCGATCGGTGCTATCGTTCCCCCCTGCAACGCGGTGGTTTCAACACTTTAACACTTGAACACTGAAGGCAGCCCTGCTGCTGGTCGGTTACCGTTTCCAGCACAGCGCTGAACCTCTTTGGTGATTCCGGTTCCGGAGAGGTCCCGAGGAGTGCAGCAGGCATGCAACTCGGAGAGTCAATTGTTAGTGACCCAACTTGCTAGCCTCCTGCAGCTTCAGCAAGGTGGGAGGCGAAAACGACGCCTAAACGGGCCCCCCGTTCGGCAGGTGTCAAAAAGAGGGCCTCCCTGCTGTGATCGTTCTTGCAGTTCTTGCGGTTTAGGGTTTAGGGTTTAGGGTTTAGGGTGTGGTCTCAGTGAATCTCTAGTAGTGTGAGTCAGCGTAGTACCTTGCCTGCCTTGCGCGAGTGTGAGCGTCGACGCCCTGAAGCCATAGCCACTAACGTCGAAACGCCTAGAACCTCACAACCCCTTAAACCCTTTAGTGTACCAAAAAAACCCTAAACCCTGAACCCTCTAGCGTACCAAAAAAGACCCTGCACCCTCTAATTTTTAAAAAAAAAACCTAAACCCGGCGATGCCCTCAAGCAGCCAGGTGATCCGATTGCCCATGGGCGCCAAGCTGCAAATCTATGCTGCCAAGCCAGGGCCTCGAAGCTAGGGTTTAGGGTTTAGGGTTTAGGGTTTAGGGTTTAGGGTTTAGGGTTTAGGGTTGAGGGTTGAGGGTTGAGGGTTTAGGAGGATTCTGGCTCAGCAGCCGGTCGGTGACCGAAAGCCCGTTGCAAAAAGGGCTTCGTTTAGAAACCCGGGACGCATAGGCACGCCATAGTGCCCACACCGGCTTGAGGCTGCAATCGTTCACAAAATCCATCAGCAGCTCACATATCGACAAGGCACCAGGCATTCCTTTTTCGGAAACAAGGGGAGTGGGTTGGGATGTTCCCCCTTATACTAAGGGTCCTTAATGGGGATTATTATTGGGGGTACCATAATCCCTACTAAGGACTGTTAGTATACGGGGGAACATCCGCAAGGAGTGGGCCCTCAACCCTTTTGCAACTGGGCTGGGGGACTAGACAGATCCGAGATGCCAATCTTGTCGGTTGAGGCCCTTGCAAGAAGCTCTCTCAGAGTAATGATTGCCAAAAGCTTGCAAAATCGCGAAGGAAAGGTGAGAACCATTAGGATGAAGGTTACTGGACAGACACGCCTAAGCTCTACCAAAAGTGCAAGACGCTCCGCCTTGTGCTGAGCACGTAACCACTCAAGGGAAGCACTTGGAAAAATTCTCATCCCTAGGAGGAAACGGAGTCGATCGCCGAGACACTGAAGAGCGTCACGCATCCCCATTCGGTGACTCAGTTGGCCGGGGTGATGCAGCCAGACGATCAGAGGGAGAGGCTTCACACGGTGTCGCTCCCCAGATGACTCTGGCTCCTGCACCAGATCATGGAGTTGGTGGCCGGCAATTTGGAGGGCCACCTCATACTTTCGAATGTGAGACTTGCATTACTTCTCGGAGAGAAGTTCCTGAATAGTCTGGGTGCCAACATGACCGTCAGAAAGGTTTCCCTCGAAAGCTTGCACGCCACAAGTCGGCTTCCCATGCAAACTGGAGCTGCGTGGAGCTGTAAAGCCTCAAACAGGTTGATCCGTGTTGCTCGTGCATGGGCTGTATCATCAACCATGTCTTGAAGCACTTGCTTCAGATTTGTGGCCTAGCTTCTTGGAAAGCCGCAACGAGAAAGCCGCGGTGGATATTGAATTCCTTTGGAGCTTTCCACCATCCGGAGCGAGCGCACAGGGGTTTAAGAATTAGGATTGAGCCTAGTGGCCAGCCTTGAGCCAACCCGAAAAAAGCTAAATCAGAGACCCCAAACCTGCGCCCGAAACCTCAACCCGCCCGATGTTCGCTCTCCGGAGATGGTGCTGCAGAAGCGTCAACCCTAACCCATGACACACTCAGCCAGTAGATGAACCTTATACTTTTGGGCTTTTATTATTTAGTAGGAATAAGCTTTTGCTTTTTTTTATTCCTTGGTTCTGGGAGAAGTAAGATAACAAGAGCCCACCCTTGACCCTATGCCCTACTTAAACCCTTTAATGTAAGGGGTAGGAACCAAAGCCTAAGCATGTTACGCTAAACCCTAAACCCTAAACCCTAAACCCTAAACCCTAAACGTTGCCACAGTTGAGGTATCTTCAGGGACTGCTGGAGTTCATCGAGAACACGATCGACAAGAAGGGTGAGGTCGTCGATGTCCAGGCCTTCTTATGGGCTTCTCTTGGGGGAACGCTAGGGTTCAGGGTTTAGGGTTTAGGGTTTAGGGTTTAGGGTTTATATAGGGTTTAGGGTTTAGGGTTGCGCCCTCAGTCCGGCTGCAAAGAAAAGCTCAGGGCTTAGGGTCTCGGGTTGCGGGTTTCGGGAAACTCTTCTGACACCTTACTGTCAAGTTCACATGGATACGGAGGTGTTTGGGGCTGGGTGCCGGTCAGGGGTGAGCTCCATGATCTCGACCCGTGCAGGCGAACTGAGTGCGATGTCCATGCCAAGCTGGACGAAACGGAGTCGTGCTGTCTCCGACCCTTGGGTTTTGGGTTTAGGGTAGGGTTTAGGGTTTAGGGTTTACGGTTAGGGCAAACTGTGCAAAAACCCTTCGCCCACCAAAAGACGCACGACTGCCTTAGCCTCTTGCACATGGCAGGGGGAGCTCGACCACTGTAGTAATCCCTGTGGAGTGAATCCGCCCGCTTTAGGAAGAAGGGTTTGGCAACCTGAGATGCTTCGAAGGAAACTTATGAGGCATGGTACATAGGCCCAAGCAGAGCTTCCCCCCACCCTAAACCCCAAACCCCAAACCCCAAACCCTAAACCCTAAACCCTAAACCCTGTTGCACTAGCGTGAAGCCTGCTGCCGCAGAGAGTGCTTGCAAAAAACCCTAAACCCTAAACCCTAAACCAAGAGCTCCGGGTCGAACACCCCCATGCCACGTTTCACCAAAGGGAACTGGGAGTTGCAGGGCCCAGGTTTAGGGGGACTCTATAGGAGCGCATGCGGGATTTCCCAAACTGCACACCAGGATGCTTCAGAATATCGAGGGCTGAGCGCTGGTGTAGTGATGCCCAGTGACCAGTGCTTTTGCGACCTTAATCGTACACTTGTCAGAGGGCCTCCCCCCATTGATTGGAGGCATGGTGGGTGGTTTGTTAGATCAGGGACAGCCCTAAACCCTAACCCCTAAACCCTAAACCCTAAACCCTAACACAGCCAATGCAACAGCAATAGCAGCGCGGGCCCTGTGGCGATCGTGCGCCTCGTCCATGTGGTCTCGCCGTGTCATTCCACTGAGAGGCCCATGCGCTCCTGCGCAAGAAGGGGCATCCTTAGGCTCGCAAGCAGACCCAGGTCCTAGGTCAGGGGTTTAGGGTTTAGGGTTCAGGGTTTAGGGTCTAGGGTTTAGGGTTTAGGGTTAGCGTTGCTCCTTCCACAGTTCCACAGGCATTGTAAGCATGGGCTTTGCAGGGAATGCCGCGGCCGTAGCTGATGGAACAAAGAGGAGGCCTCGTGCTCCAAGCTCTTGTCGGGAATGAGTGCAACCCATGTCTTGCTGTCCCTACGCTTTTCCGAGAACGGCCTAATGAGCAGCCTGTGAGTCTAACACCTGGCCGAACTCAGATTCCTCATTCTTGCGAGGAACGGCTGTAGCTTAGGTCGTCCTGCGATTGATGCCATTGCCCATGCTCCGTGGTGATGGCCCGATTTTGCGCAAGCGGTGGCAAAACAGAAGCTGCCGCGCAGGAGTTTGAAAGGCGTCGGTAGGGGACCCATGTTTTTTTGCACCCTTTTTTCTGGGCATTTTCATTTTATTGCCCTATTTTCTGGTAGAAAACCTCTCTAACCCTTGGAATGAGACAGAGAAGATTAGCATGGCCCCTGCGAAAGGATGACAGGTACAAATCGAGAAGAAGAGACCCTAAACCTCCCCCCCCCGCACCCCCCCCCCCCCGCCCAAAAAAGAAAGAGAAAAAACATGCCAAAAGAAAAGAGAATAAAGGGCCAACAAAAAGAAGTGCACCCGTTCTGTAGGTTCCATTTGTTGTGGGGGTTGAAGGCTTAAAACTCACAGCCCCAAACCCTAAACCCCAAACCCCAAACCCCAAACCCTAAACCCTAAACCCTAAGCCCTTTTCGCCTACGGCCGAGGTGTGGGCCCCTCCTTCCCAATCTGGAGGGTCTCCTCGCGTCCTTCGAGCCCCACCTTCGGCCCCTCAGACGGCGCTTTGCGGCGAATCGAGTTTAGGGTTTTTTAGGGTTTTTTAGGGTTTTTTAGGGTTTTTTAGGGTTTCTTAGGGTTTCTTAGGGTTTTATGGGGTATTATGGGGTTTTGGTTTTTTTAGGGTTTTTTAGGGTTTTATGGGGTTTTGGGGTTTTATGGGTTTTTAGGGTTTTAAGGGTTTTTTAGGTTTTTTAGGGTTTTAGGGTTTTTTTAGGGTTTTTATGGTTTTTGGGGTTTTATGGGGTTTTAGGGTTTTATGGGTTTTTAGGGTTTTGGGGTTTTGGGGTTTAGGGTTTTTAGGGTTTTTAGGCTTACTGCAACAGCCCGGCAGCAAAAAGTGTTTTTAGGGTTTAGGGTTTAGGAAGCTCTTAGCAAGGATGTTTCG